TGCGCCTCCGCTCTCTCCGGCTTGAAACCTCTTTGTCCAGTTCACCCAGCCTGGTATCCAGGCCCCACTATTTCACATCAACAACATCTCCTTTACTTCTATTCTTAGAGGATCAATAACGTTTTAAATTCAGCTCTCTGCTTCTTGGTTAATAGTTAGCCGTGTTGCTCAGCGTAGCCGAGGTGCATGCAGCGTTGACATCTAAAGGTGGAAAGGATGTGCCCGTCTGTGTTTGGAGGCTGCTGAGTTAAGGGAAGTGGCAGGGCAGGTGGGAGGTGAGAAAGCACATCCTTTAGCTCTGTCTCGACCCTGGTGGTCTGCGGAATGGAGTAATAGCTGCTACAAAAGCTTTTCAGCTCTAAGTAGACTACAGCCCTCCTACCTACTTCCTAGATGAACAGCCAGAGAGGGGAAAAATTAGAGATTCTGCCTGCCTGAGGAAATTTCCCCAGAAATTCACATTTCAGAGGCAAAACTACCACTCTGATAAAGGTTTATCTCACTGAGCTGTTCTGCTGGAAAATCGGATAGGAAAGCATTTTTGAGCCCAACCAAAGCAGGGGCGGGACAGGTGTTAATGCAAAGCCATTACTTTTTGGTTCAAATGCTTGGTCCATTAGCCTCTGGGGTTCTTGTCATGACAGGACGTGGGGAAACACATGGCCAGCCTTCCCTGCTCCTGGTTGGGTGTTTTTCTTGCCTCTTTATCATCAGGACTCCACTCCACTTCTGCTCTCCCTGCAGTGTCCTGACTGACTTGTCACCTTGGAGATGGCTAGGGCAATGCATCTAGACAGCTCTTTACTTCCTGTCTGTTGTTGCAACCCAAAAACCAGAAGGTAATCTTTTCCCAGGATGGTATTCCTGTCTAGGGCAACTAAGACTGAAAGCCTTAGTAACCCACAATCCTGTCGCGTCAGGGAAACCCAACCCCGAAGCTCATCACTGCAGAGTAGATCCCAATGCACGGTGATGCTGAGGAACAGAGCAGAGCTGTCCCTCGGGGTCCAAGGCTGCCATCCTTACGACGGCCACCTCTTTCTCTTATGGAGCAGCTAGTGGGTTTGAACTGCCAACCTTTCAGTTGTTAACCCTGGAAAGATGCGGTTTTTGTTCTGTGTACCGTCGAGCCAGAACTGACCCATCGCTGATCCTCCAGGGGGTTTCCAGTGGTGGTAAATCGCACAGGAGGAGATGGCCAATCCTTCTCCCATGAAGCAGTTGATGGATTCGAACTGCGTGCCTTTGGGGTTGCAGTGCAGCTTGTTACCACTAGGCCACCAGAGCTCTGAGAGGAGGTTAAATATGTGTGACCAGACTCGTTCACTGATGCTCTGGAAACTCCCAAGCCCATAGTTTCCTCGTTGCTGACCACTTCACAATGTGCTTCTCCTAGTGTCCTTTGACCCTTTCGAGCTGATGCATCAAATTTCAAGTGTGCGTCCAGTACCATCTGGTTGGTTTTTGTTTTTTTTTTTTTGGTTCCTGAAGCAGTCTAACATGTCATGACGGCACAGCGTCTCTCCTCATCCTTTTCTCATTATTCACCTCTCAGCTGACCGTATGTGTGGAAGAGAAGCCACTGCCCACTACCCAAGTGACCAGACACCCTGGAATCCGGGAACTTGAATGTCTGGGTTTTTAAAAAATCCCTCCTAGAATTGAGCAGATTTGCCTTCATAATTACGAGTTTGACTGAGTCAAATGTAAACTGTGCTACTTAAAATTGTGCTCACTCTTATGTTTCATTCCCTCTCTTAGATTAAAACCAACAACAACAAAAAAAGAGTAAATCATCCCTAGGATTAAAATAATATAAAAAAACTCGTAACCCCCAACCTCTTGTCATCAAATCTATTCCAATTAGGGCCTCTGTGTGAAGCACAGAAGAACTGAGCTCCATAGGATTTTCAAGGACTGAGGGGGTTTTGGCAGTAGATGCCGACATCTTTCTTCTGAGATGCAGCTGGGTGGACCTGAACCTCCAACCTGCTTTTAGCAGCTGATGCATTAACCATTTGTATAATCCAGGGACCCTTGTCCCTGAAATAGAGATTTCCAAATATGGAATATCCTTATTGCTAGGTACTAGAAACCTGATGGTTTCTTTTCGAGGGCATTAAAGCACTGAGCTCTTAAGAGCCTGTCTCCTAGCCTAGACCTTTAGGACCCGGAGGTAAATTTCGTTTTGAGAGTGTGGATGTCTGCTTGGGACCTTGGCTTCCTCAGAGGCAGTTTCTCTAGCTGCAATGACTTAAGAGTGCTCTAGAATCAGTCTGTTGTTGTTGCTGTTGTGTAGTACTGTAGAGTCATAACTGACCCATAGCTGACCCTCCAGGGACTTTTCAGAGGGAGGTTGTCCATCCTTTTCCTGCAGAGCAGCTGGTGGATTTGAACCGAGTGCCTCTGGGACTTCGGCGCAGCTTCTTACCACTAGGCCTCCAGCGCTCCCTAGATTTAGTCTACCACTTTGAAATAATTTTCACTGATTCTTTGTTCTTTAGAATAGTTAGGGAGCTCTGGTGGCCTGGTGACAAGAAGCTGCTCTGCAATCTGAAAGTACGTGGTTCGAATCCACCAGATGCTCCACTGGAGAAGGAGGGGCGATCTCCTCTTGGGCCAGTTGGATCTGACTGGACAGTACATAACAAGGGGGAAAATTTGTAAAGAAAAGATTTAGAATAAATTCCATTAATAATAATAATAATAATAAAATGTTTCTTCATAGTCCTGGAGTATCTCGTAATAATGGTAAAGTTGGGCTTAAATATTTCCTTCCAAATCTTTGCTTATTTTTCTTAAGAAGAAAGAGAATAAGGAAAAGGGGGAGGGTAAAGAGGGGGAGAAGAAGGAGAAGGGAGAGGAGAGGGAGGAGGAGGAGAGGGAGGAAGAGGAAGGCGAGAAGGAGCAGGAGGAGAGGAGGAGGGAGAGGCAGGGAGGGAGGAGTTGGAGAGGTCATGCTCTTAGTTCACTCTATCAGGAAATCTTGAACTTGCAGTTGACCTTTGTAGTGCTGTGAGAGTTTGCTGCCGTTCATTTTTATGTAACAGCTTTCCCCGGGGCCTCATCTGACAATTGCACCTCTTTACCTTTTTCCTCTGATTTATTTACTGTCATGATCCCACTGGACAGATAATGCGGAGCCACTGCGAGCACTTTGGGGCGGGAGGTGGTGTGGAATTACATAGCCAGACAGCACGGAGGGCCCCCGGGGCAGCCGTCCCAGCAGAGGGCTCCTGGTTATCCCCGCCGCCAGACAGCCCTTGTTTAGGGAGCCTGGGGTCCCGTGTTTTAACACCTGGTAACATCTACATGGGGGACACCAAGAGTGACGTTTTCATATACAAAGCCTGATCTAATGGTAGCCACGCCCGTGCCCAAGTGTATTTCAGCACAGTGGACATTGTAGTCAGGCCATAGAACAGGCTCTTCTCCTAGTGCTGGGATGAGCCTGTCCACCCACAGATGCAGGCCAACAAGTGGCACTGGTGGTGGGCAGTGCCTGCCTGTGGTCATCCGTGAGGAAGGGCCCAGCGAGCCAGCGGCCGGAGCATGCAGGGCTCAGTGGGGGTACACGGAGTGGAAGGCCGTGCGGTTTTGCCTGGAGGGACCGGGCACCCTCTTGTCCCACCGTACCCGCCCCACACTCTCTGTGTCAGTGCTGCTTTCTGCTCATGGTGCCCTCAGGCCTGAAGTTTGCACCATAGTTGTCTTAATGCCCAGCTCTCTGTAAAAAGAAGAAAAACCCCAAAAGCTACCACCAAAGGGAAAAAAAAACCCACTCCAAACCAAAACACCGCTGGGGGGGGAGGTGTTTGTGAGTTACTTTTCCACTTTCTCTCATTAGGAAGCCAGGTGGGGGATCTCATGGTTTCTTATAAAGGTCTAATTTTGATTCCTTCTCATTCAATTATTTCCACGGAGGCGAGAATACGATTGTTTCCCCACCAGCATCGCCATCCATTTTTCTTGGTCTTTTTTGCCTTGCATGTTAGTGACTTGCCCCCTGTGGGTTCCTAAGAAAAATTAAAGCAATTTGAGATGGGGGGGGAAAACACCGCAATCTTACAACAAAGCACGTTTCGTCTGCATAACCACAATGATCGATGACTGCAACCACTTAATTCCTTTGGGCAAATAAATAATTCTTTGATTATTTCTAAGAAGACAATCCATGAATTCATGTTCTGGGGGGTTCATGTTACTCCTGCCTCCTTCTGTTTCCTTTGAAAGAGTTTGTCTAAAATGAACAAAGCAAGTACCCAGGAGCAGTGGGTCTGGGGAGGCTAAAGGTTCTACAATTTAGAGGGGCCTTTTTGACAAAAAAAACCACAAAAGTATCTTACTTTGACCGGTTTTTACAAAAACATAAAAGCACTTGAACATACCATTAGAGTCCTCCATTTTTATGAAGGTACATGAGCATGTGAGCAGACTATAGGTGGTCCTCCGGGGCCTTGCAAAGGGCTCTGTAAGAGAGTTCCCTCAAGCTGACACAGTACTGGCTTCCCAGTTAGTCCTTCTTGGCAGGCACCATGTTATAAGACATGTCCACCTTGAACTTGCTGTTTGAACACATGCACACAGCAACGTGGGGAATGTCTATACAGGGATAGAAAGTCATATACAAGTTTAAATGTAGGAGCACAAGGTTACATACTGGGCATATAATGCACAACCACACAGATACACTTTGCTGGTTGGTTTTTGTAGTTGTTGAACCTGGACATTTCCAAAGGTCTCTCGCTCAGGCATGATCTTCTCCAGACCTTGAACTGTCTGCCTGCATTGAAATGTTCACTTTCAGGAGGGAAGGGAAAGATAATCAACTTCATACACTATCCCTCAGACAAGCCGCCTCAAACGCTGTTTCCTGAACTGGCCTCATGCTCAGCGATTCCCTTCTCTATAAGCCAGGTGTGATGGGTGGGAGGAAGGAGGAGTGGGCGTGAGGAAGCACACTGCTAGTAGGCGGAGTGTGGGGGCTTTGCAGCGTCAGTTCAGATCCCAGTCTGGAGGTCTCCATTGAGGAGGGTCCTCTGGGTCTCGGTGGTCTCGTTCAGCCGGGATTTGTCCTGCTTGCTGTCACTCCGCTCTCCGTCATCCGTGCCACCGACCTTGACCAGGCAGAGGACATTCTGGAAGCTCTTCTTGAAGTTGTCAGACAAGAAGGCGTAGAGGATGGGGTTGGCACAGCTGTTGGCGTAGGTGAGGACAACCACGAAGTCGAACATGCCTTTGAGAGCCGGGGTGGGGTCGATGGCCACCGAGACGGACGACACATTGAAGATGTAGAAGGGAAGCCAGCAGAAGATGAAGACGGCCACCACGATGGACACCATGCGGGTCACCTTCTTCTCTGACTTTTTCCTCTTGGAAGAACCCACCCTGATCCCGGAGGACTTGACCTTGATTATAATGAACAGGTAGCAGAGACAAATGATGGTCAGGGGCACCAGGAAGCCCAAGATGAAGGCATAGATGATGAAGCCTGTATACCATGCCCCTGATTCCCCAGGCCAGTTGATGGTGCAGCTGCTTCTCCCCCACTGGTTGCTCCGGAGCCCGGCGTAGATCATGATGGGCAAGATGACCAGCAGAGAGACACCCCACACAGCCACGTTGATCATCTTGGCGGTCCGGGGTCTCCTCCACTTGGCCGACTTGATGGGGTGGACCACAGCCAGGTAACGGTCAATGCTCATGACCGTCAAGCAGAAAATGCTGGTGAACTGGTTGATGCCGTCCACGGTCATGACCACCCGGCAGATGGCCTTGCCGAAGGGCCAGTGGACCAGCGCCACCTGCATGGCCAGGAAGGGTAGGCCCAGCATGAAGAGCTCATCGGCGATGGCCAGGTTGAGGATGTAAATGTTGGTGATGGTCTTCATCTTGGCGTAGCGGAGAATGACATAGATGACGAGTGTGTTCCCACACAGCCCAACGATGCAGACCACGAAGTAGATGAAGGTGAGGACAGCGTTGCTGGTCAGGTCGTAGTAGGGCTCCGTCTGGTTGGAGCTGTTGGCGGCCACCATTGGGCCATTGAGGCCGAGTCGAGGGGGCGGCCATTCAGTGCTGCCATTGTATGCCGTATCCATGGCAGCTTTATGGCCTTGGGCGAGTGCCAATCAGCCCAGAGATTCAATGGCCACCTTTACAGGCCCTGGAGACAGAGTTTCCATGTGGCATCTACAACAGAACAAAGGAATATTGGCCCTGTAATCATAGGCTACCCAGACCTCCCCAGCTTCCCACGTTTCTGATTTGTCCTCCTTGACATACCCCTAAATTAAAAAAAGTATGTTCTGCTGTTAGGGACCTCTCCAAAGTACTGAAGAGCAATGGTGTGTCTTTAGAGACTAAGGTGCATCTGATACAGGGTATTTGCTATCACTTGTTATGCATCAGAGAGTTGGACAATGACCAAGGAGGATAGAAGGAGAATTGATGCCTTTGAGCTGTGGTGCTGGAGAAGAGTGTTGAGGGTATCATGGACTGCTAGGAAAACAAACAGATTCATCCTGGAAAGGGTTAAACCGGGAGGCTCCTTGGAGGCAAGGATTCTGAGGCTCCATCTAACATACTTTGGACATGTTGTGAGGAGAGACTGGTCCTTGGAGAGGGACATCATGCTTGGTAGGGTGGAGGGACAGTGCAGGAGAGGATGGCCCTCTATGAGGTGGATTGATTCAGTGACTGGGGTAATCAGGATGGGTGTATAGGAGAGGATGCGATTGGCACAGGACAGAGCAGAGTTTAGGGCTGTTGGACATAGGATTGCTATGAGTCGCAAGCAACTCGACGGCACATAACAACAACAACAACATATTCTCATCCCTACCAGTCTTAGGCCTCCCAACCCATCCTTCTTTGTAAGTGGACTTTTGAGTTATTCTTTCCCGTGGTGGGGAAGAGTCCGAATTAAGCCATCTTGACATCTTTGATGACCTACACTGGGAGATGGTTGTGGCTTAAAAAAAAAGAAGCAACTACTTTGATCTTCTCTAAGATATTGACTTGTCTAGACTGGAAAGAGGCAGAGCTTGGAGAAGGCCAGCTGCTGCTCTCCCGGGGGGTCAGACACCAACACTCTTGGCCTTTTTTTCTCTAGGAGGAAATGACACTGACTGGTCAACTACCCTGGAGCCTTTCCATTCTGAAAGCCAGAAAAACAGTGGAAAAATCCTGGACTCTCGAGGTCAAGAAGACTTGGGTTCCTCCACGGTGCCGCTGTGCCTTTCCGCAGGACGCTGATCCCCGTGAACTCTCGTTGAAATGAGAGGGCATGAAGCTGCGGCAAAGGGATGCACGTGGAGATGCCTAGCTGTGTTCCATGTTGGTGAGTGAACGTGATAAATGTTGTTCCTCCCCTTTCCCCCCTCTCCATCTCATTTTCTTTAGTTTATTGAAATCTGTCTCTGCGTTAAGCCAATTTATAGTCTTGGGCATTAAAAGTCTGCTTTGCTTTCAATTTTAAAATGAAAGCTTTTACTTATTTATTTGTGTGTGTGTGTCTTCTGTCCTTATTTCTTAAACACTGAGTTCTTGCCCTCCTCCTGCCTAGAGCATGTCTAACTTCTTGAGGCAGGATTCTGCTCCAGAGGGTTTGCCTTAATACCCCCGAGGGCTCATCTGTGATTCTTTGCATGAGGACAAACCCAGCAGCTGGGCTCTAGGGAAGCATGGTCATTCATAGAAGTGAACCAGTCTCCAAACACTGGCGTGGTTAGATGCAGCCCCTACATAGATCCTCACCCCTGATCGACCCATGTAACCTATGAGATGGGATAATCTCTTCTTGTACAGATGAGCAAACTGGGACTTGAGGGAGTTTAAGTAACTTACTCCGAGTCACTCACGTGTACGCAATTGGAAGAGCTGGGATTCGAACACTAGCATCTGGTGCTACATCTGCTGCGCTTTTTACAACATTACGCCTGCAGCTCAGAAGCCCGCAGAACTAGCAACTGATGGTGGGGCCTTGATTTGAGGCCACTGGACCCCTGTGCCACGCCAAGCTGAGCAAATGGTAGTTGACACCACCGCCTTGGCTTCCGAGAGAAGAGCATGTTACACGATTGATTTCTCGACAGTCATATCCAGACCCATCACTGAGGACCTTCTTTACTTCCCAGCAGGGTGGGAACGGATGGCTCCTGGCTCCTTCCTGGTGCAGCACTGGATGAGACCTGGCTGGCGCCTGCCTCTATGAACTGCCAATGAGTCACGCATGGCAACCTCCCTAACAGGCGGGGGGACCACTGTGCCCCAGTTTTCATGCTGTGATTTCTGGAAGATTATTCGGCCATTCTTCCTAGTCCGTCTTGCATGAGAAGCTCTGTGGAAACCCACCCAGCAGCCTAGCAACCCCCCCCCATCCTCTGCTGGCCCATGAATGGTGGCTGCACGTGAGGGGCTTTGACTGGCAGTCAAACCCCAGGCTCCCACAGGGAGGAGAGAATTCTTCCTGCGATCCACCTCTGTCTGCTTCTCCCGGTGCCCTCTAGGGGGAGACAGCTTAATAGAAGAGACAGTCCTGCAATACCAGCTGCGAAGTGTGTGGAGCTTCCAGCCAAGGACTGAGGCGCGCTTTCCTTTCCTGGGAACCCAGGAGGCTTTGTGAGAGGAATCTAGGGCTGCATCTCGAATATGTGAGAAGTGCAGCCCAGAGCCATGCCAGGAAGAAGATGGTAAGGGCTGTGGTGTGCCCAGAGCCCAGCGGGAATAATTCACTTAAGTGGCACGCTCATCTGGCCAGTACAGGCTTCCCTAGCCTCTGGATATAGCCACAGATCACTTCTGGTCACTTAAGACTACTCCCTGGTGTTACAGGAGATTGCTACTTCTTGTTTTTATGTACCGTCGAGTCAGAACCCACTCACAGCTGAGTCTGTGAGTCGATTCTTCTCATAGCTGACCCTCAGCGGGTTTTCATAGGCAGTAAAAATCACATGGGTCGCAGGCAGCTCGATGGCACATAACAACAACAACAATCACATAGGAGTTGATTCCCTATCTTTCTCCGGGTGGACTCAAACCGTGTGACTTTGGGTAAGCAGTGCAGTTCCTCACCTCTGGGCTACTATAGCTCACTTTACTGACTTCACTGGAGATAAGAGCTTTGCCTGTGGCTTTTCTCAAAAGAATAAAGAAGAATATTGACTTGCATACCATCATCCATATGCATCCTGTTTTGTACATGGACTTTGTGTTTTAGACAAGCATTCATATACATTCTATTTTACATAATTCACTGCCAATGCTGCATGTCTATGATTACCCCATCTTTTCAAGCCCCCACTGAACCTCACCAAGGCCAAGTGCTTAGCCTCTCTGAGCCAGTCTCCCCACCACACAGCTGTAATGTGAGGCGTGGGCTCTGCGTCTGACCTTGCAGCTTCTTTGGGGAGCTGCTGGGACTTCATCTGCGTATCAGGGGGAGAGCCTGAACTGGCAGCTCTTAACCAGGAGCTGTAAAGGAGCTATTTCTACATGCCTGGATTAATTTGGGTGGTTTCCACCGTCCTTTCTAACCTCCTTGCCAGTTACTGGAAATCTTAAGACCTAGAATCTTATTCACACTGCCTGCCTTAGAGGTGGCGTCAGATGCTGGCACAACGACGGTCCAGCCTGTGACATATGACTGGTACACCCACCCAGTGTCTACAAAGGAGCACCGAGCTGTAGAGGTCTCTCCTGGGCTTTGGGGATAGGAATGGCCCTGGGGCAGAAGGGCTGAGGGAGGTGGACTGGTGCCTCCCAGCCTGCTTCTGTCTCTTCAGCTTGGCATCTCTCCGGAAGAGGCAATGGTACCAGCAGTCACATTCTCAAATTAACAAGCAGTGCATATCTGCTCTGGTGAGAGGCAGCAAATAGATAGGGTCCAGGATTTTGGTGAAGGCGATGGAAGTGGCAGCCTGGAGAGGCCGCCAGCGTGGGAAGCCTCCTGGGAAGAAGAAATGAGCTGAAATCCTGTTTAGTTTGCATTCGTTAACCCTGAGGTCTCTGAATGACTTCCACTTCATTTGTCTCCCTCAGAGATGGAGCCCAGCCCCAGGCAAGCAGGACTTGTTGAACTGTGTGGTTCAATGAAAGACCCACGGCAGCCTGACATTCTACTGTCTCTTTTTCCAGCCCCAGAACTGTTAGATACTGGAAATGGCTGGTGGTTTCCTCTGAGGAGGAGACCAGCTCTCTGGGAAGGAGGATGAGGGTGCTCTCAGCCCTCTCTCCCTACCTGGAGGGTCGGTGGTAGTGCGAGTGTGGGGAGGGGGACTATGCATTGGGGACTATGTGAAAGCCTCGTTCCCCCCACTTCTCTCCTGCATCTTCCCTAAACTCAGCCCCCACTAGTGCCCGCCTCCGGGCTGGCAAAGCCCAGCTTGATCTCCTGGAGCCCTGAAGAGTGAATCCCACCTGCTGGGAGACCACAGCCCTAGGGCTCCCGGGCAGCTGGGGCTGACTGCACTGCTACCGAAAAGCCCCAGCGAGTTGTTCCTTCAGACCTCTGCCTTTGCCAGCGACTCCCGACCACTTCTGAGGTTCTGAGAGGGCGAAGACTCTGGTGATAATCTCGACTGTCTCTAAACGCGCAGGGGAACCGTGGGGAGGCGCCCAGGGCAGCTAGGGGCAAAAGCCATTTGGGGATTTGAGCCGCGGCAGCTAAGGGACACGGACTCCCCACCACTCAGCCATTCCAAAGCCAGGCAGCCTGTCTCCTCCACCTGGAAACCGGGAATGAACGGGACCTTGCAGCCCTCTCCTCGCCTTTCTGGCCATGCAGGAAGATCTGAAAGAAGTGCTTTCCCCTCGCCTGGAACCTGACAACTGTGCCTAGCAGGTAAAGCTCTCTGGATGCAAATCCGCAGAGGATGGGAAGTTGTGGCTGTGGCAGCGACCACTGGGGCTCTCACTGGAGAACCAGGAGCCGGACAAGCAGCCAGGCACGCGTTGGTGTGGACAAGTCTGCTCCAGTGCGCCGGGCGCACAGACCCCTCACTCAAATGCCAGCCACTCGTCCGCGTCCACGGAAACTATCCCCGCAAGGGTGAGGGAGAACCACGCGCACTCACACTCGACCCACAGACACGTACGACCCACCTGGGCACCGCAAGCAGCGCGGACGTACCCAGGTGTCCGAGTGCGCGTCCGACTGCTTCACCGCCTTCCTCTCTCTGGGTCTC